TTTTGACTTTATTAAAGGTTCGTTTTAGCCGATTCAAAATTTATAATTCGTTTTTTTCGGCGAGACTTGCATTTTAAGCTTGTATATATTTAGGCTAGATGCTTCACAGAAATTACTTATAAATAATGGCTAATCAGGCGATTGCTTACATAATGAACGCATAATAACCCAATTATGAAGAAAATAAATAAAGTGACCAGCATCAAAATTAACAATTTACATTCACATCCTACATTCTGTCCTCACACCTTCTCATTGATACATGACAAGGAACAATCTTGCGCACTTATATATACTGTTAACATTAACGATGGAAAAGGTTTCTACGTCTATAGTGCTAACATTAGCAAACGAAAAAATTTACTGTGAACTTATCTCGCTACATAAAGTATAACAAACATTGCTCTCTCTCTCTTACACTGCAAAAAATCAATAAGATTCATCACATTTCAGCAATTTCTGGAATTTGCAGCCTCAGCGTAAATGATGGGAACAAAGTCCATTGTCTCCGGAAATCATTCATTCAGTATTCTTAACTCACGTTTTTTAACAACACTCAATCTATTCCAACCTCCATTACTCAATTTAGCAGTTAGTCTTTTATAAAGTGATATTTTGATGGAAGATTTAGAAACTATATAACGAGAGTTTAGTATTTAACACACGATTTGAGTGGCTACTTTTTTAATTTTGATCGTTGAATATTTTTACTTATGTTTTAATACTGTTTATTTTAAATGTTTAATACCGTACGTTGAATATTTAATTTCAGAATGGTTATTTCAGAACAAACAAAATTATTAATTGATTAAATTATTAAATTAAATTTAATAATTAAACAAAATCATTAAATTAATTGTTAACTCAGAACAAATTTCATACAGAATAGTTAGATTGCAGACTCGGTACAACTGAATCTGTGATTCCGCTGTCAAAATTTTCAGATCAGTCAGTAAGAAGTAGCTGAAATTGGCAGTGATCATTGGCGATTAGAAGAAAATCTCCAAAATGCAAGAAAATGATAACACCTCACCGAAGATTGTGTGAAATTGTTAATCAATTACAATCGATGCTCATCAGCTGATCAAAAATTTCTAGATTACAAGTCACAACATACACAAACAATAGTGCATTTTTTCCATAAATGAGAAAATGCGCTAAAAAGAAGCTCCTAAAATCAGATTTAAAGGTGACAAAGACTGCCTCAATAATGGCTAAACAGGCCGTGTTAGTTGGCCACTTCAGAAATATCGTTAGGCGTTCGAAATGCAAGTTGCCAAAAGCCTAGCGGACACTCAGAAATATAAGTGAAACATTGTCCAAATATCGATGCAATTTTCCCATTTGTGTGGGTCATCCTGACCCAGTTCATTCCGGCATAAGGCGTATCATGCAGTGCTACGCCCGCTCATGCGGTGGGTAAGAATTTTTTTTATTTTTTATTAGAAAATGCATCATTTTTTGGACAATATAAGCCATAAATTGCTATGAGTGTCGGATGTTGCCCAAATATTAATGTTGCTGATGTATAGTAAAGTTAATTTATTAATCAATAGCTTATATAGTCTGTCACTGATGTGATTTCATGACAAATTCAGTCGCACGAGCAAATGATCTGGATGAAGGTTATTCTAGTTGTTAAAATCATATAATCATATTTAAGGTTTAGAATCTTTCGATGATGCTTTTAACCCGAAGTCAATTCATGGTCAGCTGAACAACAAGCTATTTCAGTTATTAATAAAAACCCAGCATCCTAAAAAATTTTGTCTTTTAGCGATTACGAAATTAATCATTCTAAGGCTCTACCGTACTATAAAACTCCACGAGATTCCAAACTGCCGAACGCAAATTTGTTCCATTTTTCAAATGGACATGTTATCAAGAAAAATCGTTACCAAATTTTAGTCAATTCTTTACCTCTTTTTCGACATGTAAATTCAACAATCTGCAATGTTATCGTCAGATAGCACGGGTGAATATCCACTGTATATATGGTTTTGTTATTATGTCTTCCTTTATCTGGGTCAATTGATTTTGGATAGGTATGTCTTTTCCAGTACGACTTTCCTAGAGACAAAAATCTAAATTACCCTTGCCATTAATTAAGTGAATTGATGGTGAATCCTGACGCAGGTTTTAATTAATCTTACGTCACAATGACGTACAAATTGCGTGTACCATTGACGTCACGGTGAAAATGCAGAAATTCGCCGAACACTTGTGCTAAGGTGCACACTGTACATCAGAGGTGCGGCACCTGGAGCTGGTCATTAAAATAACCATTGGCTTCCATTCAAACCAAAATCGTATCACATATGAAAATTTAGGGGTGCATATTGTTGCGTGTCTATCTCGTTGAAGGAGCAACAATTGAGGCTGTGCAGAAGCCACCAAGTCTTATGTAGTCCAACACTAATAATAGTACGTATTTGTGAGTTAAAAATGCACTTGCTATTCAAACTCCATTGTTGGTACTGCAACTAATAGCCGCTCTAAACTAAATTTAGTTTCAACACTCAACTAAGAAACGGCAACATGGGAAAAAACCACACGAAGATCGGCATACATTCGAGTCCAAAATATCAGAACCACCAAGTTTCTAATACGGGAACAAATTCCGTCAATGAAATGCGGCAATTATCACTGTACCTCACCGTACTACAAATTGACACATCACAATTTATCAAATTAACAATATATTTTATTCGCTGAAGATTGTAATCAGAGTGCGAGTAGCCAACCAAGTGGCTTGGCATAACACCGCAAGTCATTAACCGAGATGCAGCATTCGACACCAGCGTCTCGAGACGCTCGGCAGCTCCAACAGTAGACGAGACGGGACCAATATTTGCCCGACGTCTCTTTAGAGTTGTGGCTTGAGACGAACATCAACGAAGGCTTTAAGCTTACACATTTATTTTTCAGTACCTTCAAAGCTGAACTTTCCTTCCGGGAAGGAAGGCATTAAGGAAGAGGGGATGGGATCCTCCGTGGTTTGTTTTTTCAAAGGATAATCTAGAAATGATTATTTTTCAAGGACGAGTAAACGGATTTGTTCCATTGGGCAGGAAGAATCGAAATTGCAAGAAAAAAAATATGAGGCGCTATTGAAAAGAAAGGTATAAAAGAGATCGTTAAAGAAAAAGCAAAAACTGGACATAGGGGAAAGTAAAAAGAAGAAATGTGAAAAGAAAGTGGATACGAAAGGAAGAGCAAGCTAGTTTCCAAGAGTAAGTCATACAGAGGCCCACATTGGGAAGCCATGAGGGCATTGGGTTCATTTCTGTCTCGGAACATCAAAACAAGTAAAATTGATAAGGCCTGACTTATTGCTGCTGCAACAATAGCAGTAGCCATACTCGGGGTAACTATTACCAAACCAGAAGCAACAGCAGTACTAGTAACTAAAACGAGTAGCAGTAGTAGCAGCAGCATCAGCAGCAACAGCAGCAGCAGTAGCATTCCTGTCAGTAGTCAGATATGCGAAGCTCGACTCATCACTGGCTCTCTTATTTTCTCTTTCTGTTTTAAAATTTCTTTTGTTACGTAACCTGCAGGAACGGCTACAAACTCTTCGCTATCTTGCCAATCAAATCTCTAATTTCCTATCCTTTTTCCTCAGGATTTCTTCATCGTTCATATTTTTCATTTGATTACAAAAATTTTCGACCTAAAAATTATCATTTCAAAGTTTTTCAATTTTTCGTTAAAAGCCTTTTTGAATTATTTTCAAATTTTCGGTCTCCTTTACCGGCCATAAAAATCTAATGAAAACGGCCCTTATATAATGACCCAAAACAAGTATATACAAGACAAAACTCTATGCATAAATTATCAAGTCCTACTAAAATCGTACACGACTTCCCACACATCCAATATAATTATAGTCTATAACTACACGACTATCCACTCGTTAGTACGGACAGATCACCACAGTATCACATATGGAGGCTATAAATCAAGGGCAATGTTCTTCATACTCGTCACTAAATCTGGGGCTGGACTAACATATCACAAATAGCTACGAGTTCGTAACACCGTCAGCCAATCACTGCCGGTTTTTCATGCTGAATCTACCAATCACAGACGAGTCATCGGCCTAGCCGCTATGCATAATTAAGGTTTGATAGTATTGAAGTTTGTTATCAAACCTAGTTAAGGTTAGGTAGTATGATTCCATGCTACACGACAAATTACGGCGAAGCTATCAAGTGCGTTCTATATTTTAAAAGCATTTAATGACACTGGCTTCTCTTAAACGTCTTGAGTATCTGTAACACTATGATGCACTACCGCCTCTATTGAGCTGATTTAGTTCACCGGCATCAGGAATGTGATGCAACACTAACCTCAGGAGGCTGATTTGGCTCACCGGCATTAGGAATGCGATGAAAAACTAACCAAAATGGGAAAAATCCCTCTCACGAGTGAGCAGCATTCAATCAAAAACTTGCCGATGTTGTCACTAAGTGTGTTAAATAAGCCACCAAAAAGGCCTTCTATTCATAATTTACCTTGCATCATCGAAATTGTTTGAAATTGGAACAATTATCCAAAAGCATTATAGAAATAGAAATAAAATGATAGTTTCCATTTTCGAAACGACCTCCATGAATTAGTATTTAATGCATAAAATTTCTCACTTCGTTTGGAATACGAATTGCAGTACGTATACAGATAAACATTTCATTCAACTAGTTTTAGTTATAATATTAATATTTTCACCCTGCATCGTCCTAGGAAGAAATGCAATTGCTGAAGGTAATAAATATCACTATTGTCTACTGGAATGACATTACTTTTGATATATTTATTGAACCATGAAAACTCTTATCATGTGAGATGATAAAAACGAGTCACAAATCCTACCGCTGGTAGAGCCACATTCTAGTTAACATCTCCATTTACGGACGATTTCATTCAAGTATCATGTAATTATACTTAGGTGGTATTTTTCATCATAGAATTAAATACTTAGGTGTTATTTCAGTACTCACTTTGTATTTCTTGAGATATCCTTTCTTGACGATATCACTGTCGCCAGCGGCGAGGTCTTCTTTACTTGAGCCCATGTTGAGAACCCTTGCCACGCCACTGTTCAGAACTTGTTGCTTAACGTTGCTCATAAAGATACATTACAACAAATTCCTTGGTTCACTTGGTATACATAGAAGTTTCACCAAATGTTGCTTGCAAACATAGCATCACTTTCTTCATTGACACAGAAATCTACTTTCAATGTTGTCTTTATGAAATAAAAGTGCGCAAATAATTTGTATACGTTGAGCATTCAAAATTATCGGTAAATCTCTGATGATCGTGTATACGTTATGCTAGCTACCACAAGGTACATAAAATGAGCTGCAATGTGAGTGAAACAAACAAATAAGGAACACGAAGATCTCAAATCAACACTACCAATAATTATAATTATTGTTAAAGTTTGGTAGCTGTAGAGACACTTATTAGATATAAAATTCTTCTACGTACTGCACATGAAAATAATTTCATGTATAAACTGCAAGGTTGGTTAAAAATGCAAATATCATATTTCTCTGTGCACAAGAACATCGGCTGCGTTTGAGGAGGCGGTAGTTTTTTTCTCCTCTTCTCACGTATCAAGTTACAAATGCAAAAGGCTAAAGTAGCACAGATGAATGCAGCAGTCCTCGAACCATAGAAAAACTTTCACCAGGGGGCAAAAGGTTTCGAGTAAAAATGGTATTTATGTCAATAATTTCATAATCTCGCGTTAGAGATGAGTTCCACAATCATTAACAGCCAACACAACTAAATCCATACCACGTATGCTTTCATTCGACGTACCAGTAACGCATTAAAACATAACTTATTCTAGTAATTATTTTTAAAATTTAAATTTCACTGTAGTTCGGTGCACAATAACCACAGCGCACTTGTGAGTCCTCACTATATCATAAATTGAAGCTCGCTTAATATAAAGCTGTAATAAACACAAAAAAGGAAAACATATATATACTGGAATGAACTCTATGGAATTTACGAGTCCTAGCACCCGTGCAAAAAAGTCATCAACGTTCTTCAATGATCCAATTAGCACGGAGTCCACGTCGATAAAATTGTGGAGATGGAAGTGATTTGTGTGACATTCTTAGCCATAAAAAACCACAACTTGTGATGGCCATTAGAGCTCGCAAGATGCTCTATGTAGAACGAATTATTGAAAATACCATGGTAGATGGAACAATAGATAAGACCAGGGCCTATACTTTCAAAAAAAGTTAAGAGATCGCAAGTTCATGAGCCAATCATTGACGGCCTTTCAAGCAAAATCCACCAATCATAGACAAGAAAATAGAGTGTGAGTACTTACGTTCACTTTGCGAGTTTTGAAAGTATGGACCCTGGTAACCATAAAAGAACTTAGGGCCGAGGATGGCAAGTTCAAGAGCCTATTCTTAGTCAAGCAAGCTAAAATTAATTTTAACAATAGGTTTCCAAAAAGCAAAATTTAAAAAAATGGCTAAGAGGATTTTGCTTGAAATATCAAGATTTATTTAGAGCTTATTTATGTTTTAGGACTCCTAAACCGTCCCTACAAGGCTTGAGGTTTAGGCAGGTAGAAAAGTCGAGATAAATTGCTCGATGGGTGTAGATTAAAAACAGGTTGTCTAGTAGAAAGGCTTAGCTACGTCTAATAGGGTTAAAACATAGCATGGAAATAACTGAATAACATAGCAAATAGAACAAAAAATGTAAGGGAACGTTTAATATATAACCAAATCCAAACTAAAAAATGAGTCCACATAGATGCAATGTCAAAAGTTTCAAGGGTAAGAAACACCCATCGAATTGCGAGCTTAAAACAAATTAAAAAATGACATGTAGACATAATATACGACTCGTTTTCAAAAAAAATTTACATTGTTTTGCTAAAAAAAAGGACAGCTCACAAGGCACTTTCTAAAGTGAGCAAAATAATTGTTACAAAAATTAGTGTAAATAAATTCATAACGTAACATTTTTACCTATAGAAACATCACTCTAAATTTCCAAACGAAGAAACTGAATGAACCACTTCCAAATTAAGGGCTGATTCACACTCTATTCTGCCAGGCACGTGCCAGTCATGGTCCAGTCTAATATTCTTTAACGCATTTCTATAGAATAATTCACACTATGGGCATGGCATGCGGCTTGCACGGCTAGTGTGAATGCTTCTATTGAGATGCATTAAACAGTATTAGACTGGACCGCGACTGGCATATGCCCGGATCCCGTACGAGTGGTACGGTTGCAATGCCGTGATCGTATCGGTCACGATGGTTCTCTGCCGCAATGACGGTCGTATTTTTAGCGCATTTTCTCATTTATGGAAAAAAATGCACTATTGTGCTCGCCATGTCTGTCTCTGTCTGTCCGTCCGTGACCTCAAGTTTTCGTCGACGAGAAAATGCGCTCTCTGTCACTCACTGCAGTGAGTACTGAGTTATATTTTTTCAAGTATCCGCACTGCGACCGTACGCCGTAGTCGATTCATCGTGAAAGGATAGGTACGTAGTCTTGTCCTGCATTTTTGATGTCTCATGGTCGGTCTGACTGTGGAGTTTATAACAGCTGTACTTTCGAATGGCAGCGATTGCTTCAATTTCAGTGACATTACTTGCAACTCGTTGCCGTATCGCTGCTGTTGTAATAATAAATATTTCCAAATATTATAAACTACTCGGCATAACTTGAATAATAAGACTATTGGCTTCATAGTCGCTGCAACTCCAGGTTGCTTTTCGCTTCGTTGTACAATTTGACGATACGGCCGGTAAGGCCGTTGCGTTGATGCCGGGAAGACAAAATATTTATCGAAGCCGTGGTCGTTACTTATAGGTTGTAGATGCTTTTATTCAGGAGTCGTAGTTGTATCAATGAATCGAAATTCCTCGCAACCGTTAATATTCGGCGCATGACAGTATCCGTCACGACGCACGCGGACTGAAGACCTGTGCTTACGTGAACGTGAATTCACAGAAACATCTTTGGCGCAATTTCACGCTCCTTACATACGTAGCCGCCGCGCAAAATCTGCCCTATGCCCTCTTCATAGACGACACATCCCTCGGCACCAACTTAGGCATTCCTTCGGCGCCGTCCGATGTAAATAAACTCGCCCTCGCGGTCTCGGTCAATATCCCGTCCTACGCACTATAGTCCAAATCCCGCATTTCTAGCCATCTCACCACCTGTGCAAAAACTCTCATTGGAAATACCTTTAAAAATTTTTCGTTTGCCCTCAAACTACGTTCAATAAAATCATGCCCGCATCGTAACTAAAAGAATTTCGTATACCGCAACCACTCCAGTCACACGGCAGTAGTGAACGAACGCGCGAGTATACTCGTCATACGACACGGTCTACAGTTTGCGGACGTCTTGGCGCCCACGGCCGTGAGGCCGGTGGCTTCGCCGGTTTTGGAAGAGACGGCCACAACTTCGCTACATTTCTATACGTCCCACAACAACGCAACGGCCGCACCTGGCCGTTATTCAATTGCGATAAAACCCAAGAAGCAACAAGACATGCAGCGATTACACAGCCGACATTCAAGTAACGTCGCAAGTATTCAAGTAATGTGGGCACAGCAGGATCAGCATGGCTACGAGCTGGTCGCAACGTCAGTAAACAGAAAGCCATCACAGCCATGGCAAAGATAACAATTCTATCGCCTTGCGAAACTTGTCATTTTTATCGAAGAGGCGAGACTATGCGGCATACGGTCGCAGTGCGGCTACTTAGAACAATACGACCGTCATTACGGCAGAAGAACTTCGTGATCTATACCGTCGTGACATGACAACCGTACCACTCTAGGGATCGCTCTAGGGATTCCGGTAAAGCAGGCAAGTCGGTTAGACATTTGAATTTGAAGTGGTTCATTCGATTTTTTAGTTAAGAATTAAGTCTTTTGTCGAATTCTGAATTTATTCACATAACTCATTTCTGTAACATTGATATTATTAGCCTAAGATGTGCACTTGATTTTCCAAAAATCGATTTCAATATTTCAAGTTTTTCATTTTGACCGTCATGTACTGCAACCATAACTAAACGAGCAAAAATATAGGATTACATTCGTTATCTACTCCATTTGCTTTAATAAATTCCTAGAGAGCCTTTGACAAAAACGCACCTTATTGACCAGCTTGAGCTGGACACGTGAAAAATGAGAAAGAATTCTGAATACATAGAAAATGAAAATAATTGCAAGCAAAACAGGTTTCATACAAGTAAACACGCCTGCACAGCCACTCAAAATATCCTGCATGAAGAATATTAGTCCATGCAAGTGGTTTCCAAACTTTACGAAATCGAGTACCACTTCGAAGTTCTTTTTAGCGCATTTTCTCATTTATGGAAAAATGCACTATTGTGCTCGCCATGTCCGTCTGTCTGTCCGTCCGTCCGTGACCTCAAGTTTCCGTCAAAGAGAAAATGCGCTCTCTGTCACTCACTGCAGTGAGTACTGAGTTATATTTTTTTCAGTAACGGTAACTAATACGTACTAGCTGAAATTTTTACTAATAGACGCGTTCCTGAACTAGTTTGGCTACCACTGATTTGGTGCTACAGTTGGCAAATCAAATAGCATAAATATAATTGGAAGGTTAGGAAAAGTAAGAAATTGATCAATCAAGTATAATCGTTATTAATTGTACCTGATCATGAGAAATGGCATCAGATATTTTCTTGCAAATCAGAAAATAAATTGTAGACCGTGATACTATACCTGAAACTTTTTGAGCACGGAATGCGTTTTTATAATCGCAGTTACATGTCATTCCAGAACTCAGTTGTAACTCTCAACAAAAGTTATGATACATATACCTACCAAGGCGAGAACCATTTAATTCCCAATTGTTGACAAACGCCGCTGACTAACGCCTAAACATTCTGAGTGAATTAGAATTTTTGTACTTGATTTTGGAAAAGATGTGAAAAGTGTTTCACGATAAGTAACTGTGAAAAAAAATTCTAATCATAATGGAATACAGGTATGTGTTCCATTCCATATGTGTTCTCGATTGCAGGTAGCTTATTTGGTACGTAAAGTTTTCGATCACAATAATCGACATATTGGTAAATTTATGGCACCTTTAAAGACAATAAAATTCTCGGTACGTCGGTTGAGCCCACGTTTCACATTACTCAATTCAGTGCAACAAAAATTGACTCAAACTACTGTATAAACCATTACTATCGCTGTAATTTTAATTGCTGATCGTCGCGAAAAAATTTTGCTCCTTATCATAAACGTAATGCACCTCTTCAATTAAGATTTTAACCAAGCAGAAAAACAGCTGAGCTTCACTTCCAACATACGTGCCGGGTTATATAAAAGGGAGATGATAGGATAACTCAGTCAAAACACGGAGATAAGCTATCTTATCACGAGGTGGCGCCATGCACATAATGCAACAAGTGTACTCTCGTGTATATACACACACCTGCACACTAGCAAAGCCTGTTTAGAGGGAAATTCTTCCACGTGTAAATCTTGTACGCACTTCAAATACTCAAGAGGATAAAATTGTTTTCTTCTGCGCGGCGACATTTCTGCCGGTGTCGTGAAATAAACTCGGCAGTATAGAGTAAATAATATAATTTATATATGCGATCGGAACTCTTCTCTTCTTGAGTGTTGTGCAATGAACTCGGCAGAATGAATTAGATGATGAAATTCACGAATGATTAGAACTCGGATAGAGATACACAATAAAAAGAAAATTCAAAACGCAATAACCAAAACTACGTATCTTCATTGTTTACATTTAGATAAAAGCTTATCAATCATGTGCAAAAGATTTTCAAGAATTGAATAGATAAGACCATTTGAATGACATTTCTTTCAATGTAGCGTTTCAAGCCCATACACAGGCATGCAGTGAAAAATTGTCGAATGAATTAGATGCATTTTGATAGAAAAATGGTACAAAGCTTTGCCAGACCCGAACGGAACGAGATAAGCTAACAACATCTGCCGCACTGAAGCTACTCGATCACTACCCTTGTAAAAATGTCACAAACGTCGGTTTGAATACCATGTGACACAATAAGTCTTTTTTTGCAAGTCATGCTTAACTAACTCAATGCAGTCGCATTGCAGTAATGAAATTCGTGAATTATGAAACAATCAATTCTCTCGCGCCTGGGTATGGAGGGAACTTTGAACGCTTCGAAGTAAAGTTGGGATTATTTTAAGGATGCTTTCAGGATACTCGTTACAAGTTGTCTCTAATCAATCCAAATGTTCTCTCATTCAATCACCTTTATCCTGATCATATCAATCTCTCCTGATCGCCTCATATCAATAGCTAACATTTAAACAAGAAACTTGGTTGTTTACAATCCATTTGCGTTAATAAACATGCAAATCTACCCGTTTGTTGCGCCTTCGCTTCACAAATTGCAGCTGTATAGTTAAAAGGATGTATTCTTCTGCCGATATGGTGTGCGCGAAAAACGTACACAGCGTGCACGGCTAACTCACTGCACCTTCAAACAACAACAACCTTCGAGCAAAAATGTAACGGGAAAACTGCAACAGAATGGAGGTTTGTATTGCATTTAATTGACAGAAGCGATTTGGTTATACAAGAATCGATGTCAGGGAAATAACAGAGAAACTTTGTTTTCGATATTTACGGAGCAGGGCGTTCAAGCTTAAAAGCACAATATTAAGTTTTTACTCCGCAGCAATTTTTGTGCTCTTTTTCCTGGTGCGAAAAACATTTTTAATGCAGCTCTGATTATGTAAATGGATTTTAAAGTCCAACATAGATGAAGACAAAAAATAATCAATAGAAGACATCGTGAAGTCGTTTTGTTTTGAATTAATTAAACATCAATTAGACCAATTACTAAACAAGAAAAAATATAGGATTCCACTCGTTAACCATAAACGGCAGCAGTAAGCGTACATATGTACTGACGGTCAGAAACTGTCTGCAGTGCACTCAATAATTTAAAATAGAAGAAATCTGTATTTTTAAAGAAGTTTCAAACCAATATTTGTAAGGAAGTTTGTTTTCTGTGACTAGCCCACATGATGGTATATTCTCTTGGGTATTCCCCACGATAAACAATTGTAGGGAACACTGTACAACGATAGCAATATTATACCCTAGAATCGATCGTGTACTAATAATATTGCAGGTATGTTATTGTATAAGGTTTTTTCAATGTATATACCACCTATACGCTAGCGTTGATTCTGAATCCAAGTATTATGAGTTAGGTGGATGACCTGCAAGCAATAAATCCACTTATACGTGTAGTTCTGGTTTCCAATACTTCCTATGAAAGAAATCTTTGGTAGAGATTAATATGTTCTTTATAGTGGAAACTCTTTTTGCGTTGAATTCCCTTCCTTATTAGTATCACATGTCAACGTGGGAATTTCAAAACCGTTGCATTACCGTGATTAAAACTATCGTTAAATCTTGATGCAGCTCATAAATTATCGATTGGAAAAAAATTAACTTGAAGAGTGATTTATTGAAGAATGGTCCGTGTTTATAATCATCGTAAAACTTATGATGGTAGCTAAATTTGCTGCACCCCGTAGAAAGCACCATAACGGCAACTGATCATAGTAGTATACTGGCGCCTATCGCATCGCTTACAATCACCGGATCAGCAAAGATCCCCTCAGAACATTCGACTACGTGACCACTGCTGGAGAGCGCTGCCCCGCCTGCCCGTAGGAGGCGACGACCAGCGCATGGCCTGGAGAACGCGGGGACGGCAGCTTACGCAGCTTACGTTGGCCGCGCAACTTACGCGACTGGTGTAGCGTACGTAGGCTGCGTGGCGTACGTAGGCTGCGTGGTGTGCGCAGGCTACGCAGGGAACGTAGGCCGCGCAACGTACGCAGGCTATGCAGCGTACATAGGCCGCGCAACGTACGCAGGCAGCGTGGCGTAAGTAGGCTGCGTGGAGTAAGTAGGCTGCGTGGCGTAAGTAGGCTGCGTGGCGTAAGTAGGCTGCGTGGCGTAAGTAGGCTGCGTGGCGTAAGTAGGCTGCGTGGCGTAAGTAGGCTGCGTGGCGTACGTAGGCTGTGTGGCGTACGCAGGCTGCGTAGCGTACGTAGGCTGCGTAGGGTACGCAGGCTGCGTGGCGTAAGTAGGCTGCGTGGCGTAAGCAGGCTGCGTAGCGTACGTAGGCCGCGTGGCGTACGCAGGCTACGTGGAGTACGTAGGCTGTGTGGCGTACGCAGGCTGTGTGGCGTATGTATCCCGCGTAGCGTTACACAACGGTGGCAGCGTTAAATGGCAAAACTGTTGTCTAGGTACACTAGGGAGCTGAAAATAATGTAATCGAGATGCACATCGGCAACAGCAGTTTTTTATACAGCAGCACGTTGCTAATAGAAAGGAAGTTATCCAGATATACATACAGGAATGACAACATTGCTGCTGTTTGGATATACAGAAAAGACGTAATAACAATCTTGTGTGCCATGAATATAAATCAACAGCAATGCTATTCCCGTGTATACAGGAATAATAGCAATGCTGCTATCCAATAATATATCAGTAGAAGCATGTCTGATTGATGCTCGGTCGTCGATACAAGAACACGGGTCAAGAGCTGTCGCGAAGTTGCCTGTGCTGACGAGATCTCGAATGACGATGCACGTCATTTTCTCAGCACGTAACTCCAGTAGCAGCATAAACGTTGTATGAAACAGCAGCAGCATGAACGTCAGATGCCTCAGCACGCAGCCACAACAGCAGCATGAACGTCAGATGCCTCAGCACGCAGCCACAGCAGTAGCTCTTCATCTGAATGACTATATTGCACGTGAGTTCTTACGTCTGCGATTGGATGGCTAGCTTCAAGTCTGACAGTTGATTGGTTGACGGATAATTGACATCGCGGGTTTGATTTATTACATTAAAAAGTCTTATTTATGAGTAATACTTTATCGTACTTTCGCCGATGGCGCATAAGTACTAGTCTTCCACTCGAATCGAGGCAATTCAATAAAACTAAATAATACTAGGCAGAAGCATTTTTATAATTTTGTCATATATATATAATTTTATATTATTATTAATTTGTATTATATATAATTATTTTGTCATATATATATAATACATTTTTGTCATATATATATAATTTCCATTGTACTTTTAGTGACTTTTATAGTGGCGACTAGCGAGTGGTGACATGTCATTAACGGAAGATGAAAATTACCCTTTTACCAAAAATATTGCCCATTTGCTTCAATTTTGTAGTAGTAAAAAAAATTCGAAGAATTTGTTAACTAAATAGGGAGAATAGTTCCATGCTACGCAAAAAACGGATGCTTTTAAAACTAACTACAGAAAGCGGAACATGACGTTTAGAAATTATTAATATGTAGTCAAAAATATGGGCTAAAAACGTTCTTAAATAATTTCGTATGAAAAATGAATGATCCTATCAAACCGCACTTTAAACCGCGGGCAGGAGCTGTCTCACCTCACTCCCGTCTCCAACTAGCCATGATACATTATTACGTATGAGACTATGAGGACAGAATGCTACGGAAACTTGCATCAATTCAATTGAATGTTTAATTATTTAGGTAGCCTAGTTACATTGCCTACTTAAAAACAAATAATTTAATTAAGAGGTTCAAACCAATGAACCCTACAAAATGATAGTAGACGAATCTCTTGTTGTCGTAAGTGACTCGTAAGCACATTTTTACCGTAATTACGGTATAGGAGGATTCATCGAAGAATTGCGCATCAATTCAGAGAGGGAGAGCAAAGACGTCTCAAGCTCGCTCGCAGACGCTCTGCCCGACAGCAGTTTAACAACCGTTGAATGATGCGACACTTTTTCCAGATACTGCGTGAACATTCACATTGCCTTCGCTGAACTCTTGACCAATTCAACAATAACTCGCTATATTTTTGGTGCACATCTGAGGTCAAACATGATACGAAATTAAAACTACCACCAAATAGTAAGGGAAGCCAGGAGGCGACGAGATTGCACGTACAACGCCAATATATTGAACGATGGTCCACATGAGCATCCACTGCGTAGAAGGAACGTTTGTACGCAATAGCTAAAATCAAACAGTTTAAAGCCTGAAATTACTTTAAAAGTAAATTTTCATGCTATGAATGACACAATAAAAGCATAGATAAATTGAATTTTACGACCCAACCAACCATTAAGTGAATGCAACATGAAACCAAAGCCAGTGAATGACAGCACAACACACCACAGCCATGTCTCGGAAGCAACTGACGTAGAATTTGCGTGGCGGGATAGTGTTGCCATATCAGAGATTGCTGCATTTGGTCATAAACACTATCAAACCATAGTACTTAGAAGAAGAATTATTATAGCCTGAAATTACACTGATGATCTTTTTTTATCTTATGTTCATTCTTATGTTCACAGAGGCATCAGTGCATTAAGCCTCTTACTCAACCAGGTGGAGTGCCAGGCCGAATTAAATTATGCACTAGAGTGAAATATTATTAGGAAAAAATAGTTTCAGTTAAAAAAAATAAGTTTTATCGATCTGATGGACGGTATGGCTCCAAAGAAGACATTCTGAGCCATTGAGCCCCAACTTAAATTATGTCTCTGGAGAATAAAACGCGCAACCGAGACAAATGAAGCGATCGGACACTTCTTGAGCGACGAATTTTCACAGCAGGTTTTCCACGCATAAACCAACCTTGACTTAATAAAAAAACTATTTATTAACATAACACTCCTGCAAGTGTTACTAAATTTTTTCTACTTAAAATTTAGGTTAAGATTGGTTTTTATATGAGAAAGTTATGCGTCAGAAACTGCTATGAACATTTATTAAAAAAAATAGAAAAATACGTCATAAGAGTGTCCGAACGGTTAGGAATGGGCCAGATGCTGCGCGTCACATATTTCGTCACTAAAAATTGTGTAAGACGATGTTTGTGTGCAAAACGAGCATGAGATAACTAACTCAAAAACAAAAATTGTTTCGTATTGAATTTGTGAATTTGCACTACAACAGTCAACGTTTATTCTCTTTAGGAAATTTATTACATCTACAGTAAATAGTTACGCTGACTCGTAAAATCGTTACATTAATTGAGTGAGCGAGAACGCAACTCGTCGAAAAATAAAAACTTTATCATAATTTGTAACCAAATACTCAGTATTTTCCACTTTTATCACGGTTACAAACATTATATGTCCTATTTTCTTGCTCAGCAACAGACTATAAATCGAATATGTGACAAGTTCCTTAACATTGGAAAGTTATTTGCTTCTGAGTTCTCATTCATCGTAACCTTAAAAGTACATATATATGGTTGTATATATATTTCGAATGCGAAATAAATATATGATCGAAAGGAATTTAACTCATATATTGTATATAGTTTTGTCATACTTTCAAAGAATGATAGCATATTTATTTTTGACGTTAGAAGACTCATTGCCAATGACGAACCAGCGAAAAATGTGGCACCTTCTCACGACGCATTTTCTGTATAAGACGCCGAGACGTTGGCATCCTGCCATCTAGCGGGTTTACCATTAAGGCATAAACGCTTCGTACTAAAAATTGCGCAACTTGCGCCAGAGAAGTTCATCCTATTTTCTTGCGCGTTCTGTGGCAGATGCTTGCTTGATTGGTGTTGGCATCTATTCAAAATCCTTTTCCACAAACATTTGGACCCGTTTCAACTAAAATCTATTTTTGCCTGACTGCCAACATGATATAATCCAATGTCGTCTGGCGGTATGTAGTAACTTTTCGCCGCCAGCGCCGTCAAAACAATCCCCCTCCTCCATCTCCTCCTCCCCCTCGCATTGCACCTTCCTTTGACACCAACACAGCCACTGCCATCATGTGACACGCCACGAGCTAAAAATATGATCACGCAAAACGCTTTTATGAATGGAACGCTGACTACAACTACAATGCATTGTAAACACAGATGAATTAAAAATTAATATATCTACGTTGAAATACGGCTGTTCGGAAGTAACTTGTCGTAAGTGAATATATTGAATTCTGGAGTGATCATAAATAGCGTTGCTCATAGGTAGGTAGGCCAATTAATGCTATCTCGTGTCTGTTGGATTCAAACAATTACTATAAGGTGGGCGTTAATTAAAAAATATGAAACTGGTTTTACATTTAGAAAATGATCTTTTGCATTAGGTTTTGTATTCTGTATTATTAACTTATTTTATTGTTAAATTCTTAATGAGTCCCTTACATCGATGAAATCAAGAAATATGTACCTAAGAACTTCCAAAAGCAATTACCAGCAACAGTAATACTAGTGATATAAAAAAGAATAATAAAAAAGGTTAAATTTCAGACCACCATTTGTTCATGCAATGCTAAGATTTCAGCATTAAACTGAGCTTTTGTTTTAACATACTGACGTCCTGAAGAACCGGAATTTTCTCGTACGTAAATGACTTACCATTTGTTTGATTCTCTACCATCATGCTTTGTACAGTGAATAACTTCGTAGACGTCAGGAAAGGAAAGTATCTGCTGCAGCCTGCTTGTAGGTACAAACATGACATGACCTAAATAAATATCATAATGACCTGAATAAATATCCGAACATGATTTTACCGGTGAATATAGACGAAGAATTAAAATTGTTATACTGTTAGTAGATATTACTGAAAACCTGCATGGTTGTGGAAAGGAATGTTAAAAGTGAGACGCGACTACAAGAACTGCGTTGCAGAATGCCGTTAGAGGACGCGGTCTCTCCCGCTCACCCTCCCGCCCATCTCACCCCCAGCACCCCCAGATGATAAACCAACGGTCCGCTCCCCTCTCCCCACCGCGTCCTCTCGACTTGAGATCGACTTATCGTCTCCATTCAACTAATTCGTTCTTTTCTTTGTGATTTTTTTCTGGCATTAGTGCACATAGAAATGCAAGAAACGTAAATCGATGTCACTATACGAGAGACTACGAAACGAATGAGGCTATTGATACAGACTAAAGCACACACGTCACAAGGTCACCGAGTGGCGGGAGCGGGAGGACTACGCGCTCGCTGCATTACGAACATCAGGAACATTCTAGTGCGCAGGCAATTCGAAACTTTTCAGTCGACTGACGCAATGAACTCGAACCTATTTAATTCATGGCTTGGGGAATCGAAAAGTGCTACGGCGATTCGATTGCGCTAATTTAACGAGGAAGCGAGTTGTAAATGATATTACGCACCTCATTTCTTTATTGATAATTTTTATTATTGCTAATTTGTTATTATTTATTTTGTCTACAGCTAAGAATCAGCCATATATTAATGTATATATAGTCTATATATACTCTCAAAAACGTCCACATCATTTTAATCACCATGATTTTAATCCGTCAAAGGACAGGATCAACTTTTCATGACTTGATCCTTGAATATACGACCATCATAATAATGCTCAGCGCCACAACGTGTTTACCGCAATGAACTTGAGCTTGAGGTGCGCAACTACAATGAGCTTGCAGTTCTGAAACTGATCTCTGATTGGCTTATTTTTGGCGACGTCGTAGTTATTTTTTAGCGCAGTTAACATGGCAGTGTTAGGCGCGCTAAATACGGACGTAAACACCTCCAACTCAAGAGCTTGTGATAACAACTTCATCACATACATAACAATGAGAACTTTTCTTCATCACGTACGCAAAGATAATTCAGAACCATAATAAGAGAGAATAATGTTCCTCACTGCCCATATATGGCAAAATATTTTCTGGAGTTGTTTAGATAAATGATGGCAGCATTGTGACTGAACCTATGCACTTATGACTTATAGAATTGTTCGGTAAGAATTACAAGAAAGCTTCAGAATAGTATATTTAAGCAAATGATTAGAAACAGATTTAAAATAACTTGGAAGAATCATTACTAGATTCCCTACTCAAATTAATAAATTTTATGATTGAACTTTACAGACAACGTGCGCTGAAATATATACATAAACTCATATTGAATAACATTACACACAAATACTCTCAAAACTTGCCAGGCAGCTTCATGTTAAGAAGCTTATTGAAGATACTGATGAGATATTCAACAGCTTTTCTTCGTCCCATAGTCGCGAAGTTAGGTGAACCTAAGCTAACGTTGTGCGATCCGCATTCTTTTTGACCCTGGCTAGAAACATTTCCTTCACATTCTTCCATCTTTGCGGGGGTATTTACACCCCAAGAGGGGACACGTGCACCAGATTTCGTGTCAAAAGTGAGAATATTTCCAGACAGTTTTCTGTAGGGGCTGTAAGCAGGATAGGAACATATCTCAATGAGGAGGAAAACGGAAGGGAAGTCTTCGGTTAGCCAAGTAGGAGCGTCGCGTAGGAGACCCCCTGGGATACTCCGCTCGAAAGGAGTCGAGGAGAGCAAACTCTGAAAGTTGTGAAACTTACTTTGAAAATATAGTAGATAAACAGCAAAGACCGCTTATTTATAATATAATGCAGGACCAGAATAATCTTATTATAAAAATCTGTCAAACTTTTTGTGCGGGTTTATTTGTGCAATGAAGCCTGGGGCTGTTGGGGCGCATGTCCATAATACTTATCGTGTCGGGATATTACCAGGACATGGAAATTCATCCTTCGTGGGAGAATAGGAAAGGGTTAGAGGAAAGGGAAGAAAGGATTAGATTAAATAATATGAGTTTAAAAATTACTTTTTATAGACAACACTTCTAAAGAATCCAGTGTCTTTGATGTTACACATGTACGTACAATGAATTTCTAATTTTATTTTCAAAAATTCAAAAATTAGTTTTCAAAATTTTTTAATATATCAAAATTTTTGTAAATTTCCGAAATTATTTATTCTGTCAACTGATTCATGCATTGTCTTTGACTTTACGCAAGTGTGCAAAATTTCAGATCGATTGGACAGGTAGAAGAAGTGTGTTAAATATCGATTGTAAGATTTGTAGCAGGCAAAATTATTTTTAAATTTTTTTAATATTACATTTTTATTATTATTTATTCTGTCAATTGATTCATGCATTGTCTTCAACTATACGTAAGTGTGCAAAATTTCAGATCGATTGAAAAGGTAGAAGTGTGTCAAATATCGATTATAAAATTTGTAGCTGACAGACAAACAAACAACAAGAAATGAATTTAAAGAGAAGTGTTGTAAAATTGAAACTTGATTTTGTAATCATTATAAATTTTATGTAAGAGACCCAAAATTGTTTTACTCTTAGTTAGGAAACGATAGCCGAATGGGAATTAGATGTAAAATGTGAGCTTGAATTGATATTTATTTAACTTGCATACATATTGTTATTAATGGGATTCGAGTTGCGGAGTTCTAAAAGCACAGGATTGTTTATCCCAGGCAACGCCGGGCTGATCTGCTAGTTGTAAATAAAATGCACACTCTGGTTTCCGATTGAAATAATATTCTAGAAAAAAATCGTCCAACCTATATTAATGAACGTAATGATCCAATAACTCTATTACCTTTGTATCTAATGAAGTTTTCACCGACTTACGAAGAAGGTCGTAGTATAATAATTCCTAAATAATGGCATCCTACCTCGCCGGATTTAGATCGTCCATAAGTACTTATATCCCTAGTCTACTAAAATCGCAAGTTCTCCCAGAATTAAAAAAATTGTAAGTTTATGTTTGTCCATTACCTTGCAGATGGCAAAGTAGTTGTGGTTGCGTAAAATGGCAAGTTCACCGAAAATTTAAATAAATGATAAGTTTATGTTTATCCATTACCTTGCAGATGGCAAAGTAGTTGTGGTCGCGTAAAATCGCAAGTCTAACAAGAATTTTAAAAATCTTAAGTTTATGTTTATCCATTACCTTGCAGATGGCAAAGTAGTTGTGGTCGGTGGTAGCGTGGCTGCAGAGATCTTCTTGCGAGAAGCTGAAGCAGTCTAGACATCCAGTGCCGTCGTTCTCATGTTCATCTTGTGCTGCAAATAACACATAATCTTCTTCTAGCAGCGAAAAATTCTCCAGTTATTTGATGAACGCAAAATAATTGCGCCCTTTTAACTATATCATTGATTCATTTTGGGTAAAAGCATATGAACTCATCAAAATGATCTATTTACCTATTCATTTTATTAGAGTTTTGTAATATTTTAACGCATAATATTCTACAGTAATTATTTTACCAGTTCCAATTCGCTTTTTTCGTTTGATGGGGTCTAACTAAGAAATTTGTTCGGTCATTTTCACCGTCTGAATAATTTAAACGATGCCTACTCAGATAGGAATAACAATGGATAAGTGCACGAAGAGAAGTTATAATAATATACAGTGTTGAACAGGTAATTCCACGGAAGGTTCTCTGGACCTTTTCAAGCACTTGTAAATCATGAAGAACGCAGAAAGTATATACATCATATTTTGAATAGAATCTATCAATTCTTCATTTATCGATCCGGCGGGCTTCAGAATACAAAATTATGCTCAGAGGATATTGTTTTTGTAAAGAACTTGTTTGCTTAACCATCCGACGGGTTCGGAAATCAATTAAGATGATTAGGGGGTATTCTGTAACGACGGGAATGAACAACAATTGTTCCCTTACTTATCCCGCATGATTCAGAATCAACAACAACGATGCTAAGAAGATGTCATGTTTGGATGAAAATGAACATCAAGCGTTCGCTTACCAATTCTTCAAACATTGGAATCAACAAGAATGCTGAAATGCAATTAGTATTTTAGATAAATTAACTTTTTGCTCACTTACCCATCCCATTGGCTTTAGAATCAACAAGGATGATATTTTCGGCGTCCACAATCCAAACTTTTCCACGATCATCGACTGCGAAGTTCTCGGGCCGCGGGTCGCAGAGGTATAGGGCCATGGGGCCGGTGGATAGCGCCTGGGTAATCTGCAGTAACTGCAACGCGTATCTGACACGTTCCAGCCACGGCCTGTCGGGGCAAGATCAAAGTTTATCTTTGAAAGCACTTAAACGCGTCCAATTTAATATTTCCTGTAATATATCCAACATATGTAAGCAGGGGAAGTGCATAATAACCGCGTAAGCCACTGTGAAATGCCAGTTAGCCCGAATTCAAGAACTGTTGAGGAAGTAAACAAGGGATCTAATATTACAGTAGTTCAAGTGAATTATTGAAAGAAACTTTTAAAAAAATTGATTATTGTAACTAGCTCTTTGGTACCTATTTTCTCTAGTTTTTCGCTACAAAAATAACTGGTTATATACAAAATGAAATGTTTCAACGAGTTTCAAGACTGTTCATGAGGAACGAACTTCACCTATCGAGGACATCTGTGAGCGGCACACCAGCGTGCGCGTAGGCTACCAATCTCCCGCACGCCCCAAGCACCTCAGCGAACACAGGTTCCTTTGCACGGAAAGCCTATACATAGAAAAGAGACTTGATTATTTATTATGTTAGGGAAACAGTATGAAAAGACTGCTGCTTAATTATCGTTGGAATAAGAATTGACAAGATGAAAACAAAGTGGATTATTGCATGTTGCAAGTCATTAATCCCGAAAAGGGGAATTTCGAATGATTCGAAAGAAAGCTAGAGTGAACATCATCTGAGCATAGTACCACACTAAATCGTAATGGCATCCTCTCTTTGCATATAATTGACGATATTGTATATAATCAAAATAAAATCAATTTATCCTTAAAAATGTTTAGCTTACCATCATGATCAAAGGCTCGGGGTTGATGGAGAGTTGCGTAACAAAATTTTCTAGTAGTTCATCGCTTCCACTTGTCGCTTCGTGCTCTTGGAAACTTTTAAAGAGAAATTCTATCGTTCGAACACTAGGACACTTTACAGCATCACTAAATTCGAACAATTCAGGCTCGTTTTGAACGAGTGAACTGACATTCCAGTCGTAAAACTTTAACACCTCTCTCAATCCGTCGCCGGGTGCATGGTGCTGAGGAAGGCAGTCGCCCAAGGGACATACAATGCGGAGAGTTGCGGCACCTAACAAACTATCGAACCGCTGCAACTCCCAATTATGAGCCAGCTTTTTGAATACGACTTTTTCATTTGCAATATTACCAAGGAATACATTTCTAACATTAAAAACGCTTATAATATTAAGTTTATGTTCATTTAACACAACTTCAGTATTAAATAAATGTTTACACAACTTTTTCCCGTAGCAAGCAGGACATTTATTCAACTCTAAAAATTTATCATCTAATAACGGTCGATAAAAATGACATAGAAAGATATACAAAATTACTAACAAGCAAAGAAACAAGAACATTTTCTGCTTTACTCTCGCCATCAAACCTGTGGATATACATGGGAAATTATCATTAAAATCATGATTGATCTGCTCATTAGGCACTCAAGTAGCATTGTTAGAAAAAAACTGTGCATAACATTTTCGATGAAAATAAAGAGAAGTAATAAAAAATATAACTCAGTACTCACTGCAGTGCGTGACAGAGAGCTCATTTTCGCGTCGACGAAAACTTGAGGTCACGGACAGACGAACAGACAGACAGACGGACATGGCGAGCACAATAGTGCATTTTTTCCATAAATGGGAAAATGCGCTAAAAATATAACTCAGTACTCACTGCAGTGCGTGACAGAGAGCTCATTTTCGCGTCGACGAAAACTTGAGGTCACGGACAGACGAACAGACAGACAGACGGACATGGCGAGCACAATAGTGCATTTTTTCCATAAATGGGAAAATGCGCTAAAAATATAACTCAGTACTCACTGCAGTGAGTGACAAAGAGCGCATTTTCTCAAAATCGACGAAAACGTGAAGTCACGGACAGACGGACGAACATGACGAGTACATTAGGGCATTTTTAGCGCATTTTCTCATTTATGGAAAAATGCACTATTGTGCTCGCCATGTCCGTCCGTCTGTCTGTCTGTCCGTGACCTCAAGTTTTCGTCGACAAGAAAATGCGCTCTCTGTCACTCACTGCAGTGAGTACTGAGTTATATTTTTCCATATATGTGAAAATGCGCTAAAAAGATGATTTTAATTGTTAAGATTTATTTACATTTGTATTTGACAGTTGACACATTTATGGGGAGTTGAACGAAATAACCCTGATTTTCTTAATTGGCCTGAAGAAGGTCATTGCAATGAGCTTGATGCTGTTCTATGAGATATTGAATTTTTTAAGGAATTTATCCTGTTCGTCTTATCTTATTTATTTTCCGCAGCCGTGGATCTGATTCATGCCGGTGAATTAGGAGCTCAGCCGCTCATCAGGGGAATACTACCTTGGACAAGTCTCCAGAGCTCCTTCCAAATTTCGACACCAGGGGAATGTTCAATGATTATTGCAATAGTAACTTCCCTTCCTATGTGCATGTATATACAGATGGATCAAAACTCAGCAATGGGTCTACAGCTGCAGCTATATATATGTACCAACTCTACAGTCTACACAGCATTACCACATGGAAGCTGAACCCTGCTCACACAGTCCTTGACTCGAAGCTTTTTGCAATTGTCAAGGCCCTACAGCTTTGCAGTGTGGACCCGAGGCTAAGCGCAGAGAACATTCTCCTGCTGACTGACTCCCAGTCAGCTTTGTATGCAATCAGGAACACCATAAACCCCTCGTACAAAGAATATGTCTACAAAATTCAAGATCTTGTCCAAGCATTTTCTTCTGGATTGTCAACGTCACGTGCTGCCAAGACAAGAGCTACAACGTAATTTAAGATGCATTAATGTAGAATTTACTCTATGTAATTTGTTAGGGGAAGGCAACCATAATGATAATGTACAACAGAAAATATTTCGATTTTTTACTCTATTCATATTGAAGTCAGGTAGGATAAGCGAGCTGTAGGTTGCCATGCAACAGCTGTACACAAGCATGCATGGCAGTTATGCACATGTTTGATTGCTGCTGCTACTTATGTTCTATCTGTTGTTGTTGGCTTATTTATCAAAATCTAGGCATGTCTTTCGGGTGTTTGAAGTAGGTAGGGAGGCTGTACCAGCATTCATTTACCTTTTATGCTTTGCTTCAAATGAGCATTTAGTCTTAAGTCCATTTTCTAATACTTGTCTCCTTTAACACTCCTCAAATCCTATATGGAGCTACCTGAGAACTGTTCTCTCTTAAGAGAGAACTGACTAGCTTCCCGTACCAAGAAGCTAAAAACTTAACCAACAAGCTCTCAGGCCCAACGGTCATCCCATCAGGCAGACCTGTGGCTTTATGTCCACCCAGCGTGGACCCTCCGCAAAGAAGAAGAAGAAGAAGCCGCTCACCACCTCTACTCAGTCTACTGTCATTTCTGTGCAGTGTGCACCGGGACCGGAGTACGTCAGTTGCATTCATTGTGAAAGCACGTTTCTGATCTTGCGTTCCCTAGCATTTCAAGTTTATGTTAATATTTGCAAATGAAAATTTTGTATTTAAGAATAAATTTGAGTAATTTTTAAACTAGTCCCATGATAAACACCGTCACAACACAAACTGGCTTTCTCTTTTTAGAATAGAAGTGTCGGCACTGAAGAAATAGGCCCATGGCCATGTTACCTTGCTTGAATTTTTCGTGACTTGATTCACAAGAGATCCGGCCTTTGGAACCCAATCTTTCCAGAACTGACGATTGATTGAGAGAGCTGCTGGACTTATAGCCTGGTCCGTAATTTGCTAGGCATTTTAATTTAAGACTGAACATATCATCATATGCTCCTGCATAGCTTCGTCTAGTCTGTTCTTGAAGGCGTTCATACTTGAAGCATCAACGATGCTATCAGGGAGGCTGTTCCACATGTCGGTGAGTGACGGTGACTCGAAGCGAGAAGAAATGTTGTCGCATGGATGTGTTACAACGCAGTTTTTTTTAGTTTATAGCCGTGGCCGGTGGCCCCTGGTGTTGGTTCTTGTTTCAAATTCTAGTAATCCTTCTGGCTCTGGGACCTTGCATAAGCCATGAGTATACTTGTATGCTTCAATCAAGTTTAATGAATTCCCCACACAGACGTCAATAACTGAGGCTTGGAAGCTTCATAATCTTCAATCTTTCCTCATAGGACTTCTGACTTGCCTTTCAAGCCCGGAATTATCCTTGTTGCACGTCTTTGAACACTCTCTTGAATTTTTGTCCTTTTCAAGTTTCGGTGACCACCACAGTCACCACACAATGTTTCCAAACTCTAGGTTTGGGTGCACGACATCAACAAACAACTGCTTCATCGCTTCTGCATCTAGGAACTCAAAAGAGCCTCTGATCATTCCAAGTTGTTCATTGGCTTTATTAACTTGACCTTCAATATGCTTAGAAAATTTCAACTCAGTGTTGATATTAACTCCTAAATCTTTTTCCATTGTCGACTTCACCATCATCACTCTGTTGATGTCGTTTGAGGTTTGCCATTCTTAGTTTGAATTTTCTTTGGTCATAATTTGTTTTTTTTTCTGTGAATGGATGCTAGGGCTGACTGGCTGAGTAGGGCTGATGGTCAATTTACCCAGTTTTCTATGGTATGGGAGACTAGTTTCCTTGCTGGTTCAGGGTTTGGACTGTTTGGCCCCATAACTGTGTGAACAGCCTCTGTGTCTGTAGTCTGTAGCTTTGAGATTTTGTTAGTTAATATTTTTTGAGTTTGTATGATTACTTTTGAGTTAGATACCATATTTTAGTCTCTCAAAATTTCTTTGTTTGCTCAAAATTTCTTTGCCAATGCATTTTTGTAGCTAGTATACCCTATAGTCTATACAGACACAGACAGACTGAGCCAGTAGCTCTAATGCAATTTATAACAAATTTTCACAATGATGAATAATGGTAAAAATGAAAAACAAATGGCAAAACTTATATCAGAGATGTGAAAATTGTGTTCAGGGCTCTTGAGAAGATTGAAGCAAATAAATGAAATAATTAGCAGAAATTTGTTCTGTATTCTTGAGACTTGACTTTGACAACTGACTAGTTATTTCACCAAGATCTCATGGAGTCAGATCAAGTAGAAAATTTGTTGCAAACACGAAACACCTCGTAATTTGGGAACTGAGGTTGGGTAGATCTTGCTGAACAATTCAAAATTCAACAGTAGCAATGGAGACTGGTAACATGGCTAGTAGGTTTATCTCATTGTATAGCAAAAATCTTGAGTCTCCAAAAATGACTGTAAAGCTCTAGTTTCAACAGCCAACAAAGAAAGTAGATAAACCAGATTCCATACCTGATTATTAAGAAACTATCTTCAAAAATCATATGCAATTATTATTATTGCATATTAAATTTCAAACTAAAATATGACAAGAGCTTTAAATATTCTACTCTCAAAGCTCCTAAGTCACACAAGTTGGTAAGTTTCATATCTTTGAGCTCAATTATCCACTTATATTAAAAATTTAGAAAAAGGTAATTCATCAAGCTCCAAAGAAAATTTCAAGAATTTGAAAATTGCATATTAGTTCAAGTTATGGATTAGAAAAAGGATTTGGATATTTTATAAATAGTGACTAAAAATGAGAACATTCTAAGGCATTAGTTCATTTTTAAGCTTTACATCTATTTCTCATTCTCAACTCTCATCTCAAGGCAAAAAATTTCCAAGCTATAGTGTGAATGGCCCAAAAGCCATTCCCAATGGCCCAAAAGCCATTCCCAATGGCTGGGAATGGCCCAAAAGCCATTCCCAATGGCTCCCAATGGCCCGAAAGCCATTCCCAATGGCTCCCAATGGCCTGAAAGCCATTCCCAATGGATAGATTCATTTGCCAAGCCAGAGGTTTTAAATCAAATATTCAAATTTCAATGCCACTCTGATTTTAATAAGGGCAATTCAACATATGCCCTCAGTCAGTTGGTGTGAATTTGCAGAGTCAATAAAAGTGTGTCTCTCTACAATAACAACAGGAACAGCTCCCTTAAATTGAAAAAAATAATAAATTAATAGAACTGCTGAATTTTAAATTCACTCATTATATTATTTGAAATCTTAATTTTTTGTGCAGAGAATGCCTGATGTCTTCTCCGAGCATTTTAAGTACAAAACGTGTCAAAAGTGCTAGTGTGCATGGTGCTTTCAAGAGCCCCTTTCGTTCTCCTGTAGTCACCAAACTTGAAGCTCTTGTTAAAGAAAGTTGTGTGAATGAACAACTAAGTTTCTCTCAAGACCATAATGATAGCATTGGTTCATCTGTTGTAGCTGATGCAGCATCAGGGACTGTTTGCCCAGTCTTAAATACACCAACAAATTATTCTAATTTGTTGAAAAGAAAATTGACTGACAAATCACCTGCTGTCAAACTTAAATCATTTAAGACACCTTTCAAAAGTCCCCTTGCAAACAAAGAATGCACTTTGGAAGATGAAAGAGCATCAACAGTGTCAACGCCTAAAAGAATTTGTCTTGTAAGAAAAAGAAATATTAGTTCTTCATCAGCTAGTAAATCTCAAAGCTCTACTTCTGAGAACTTATCCATTGAAGAGTTGATGCAGAAAGAAAAAGAACTAGATGATGAGATTGCAAAACTACAGAATGAAGGGTGCGATGTTCAGGAGCTTCAAATGTACATAGACAGACTGCATAAATATAATGACCTGAAAGACACTGCACAAATGGTCATGGGACAACTTGCTCAAATTGAAGGTGTCTCTCTTAAAGTCATGCACAAACGATATGGTGTTGCTGATCTTGACTAAGTAGCATATCATCTCAAGTCACAGTGATTCTCTCTCATGAAACTTCTTAATCTGGATTGTTTTGTCTATTAAATTGAGTGATACATCACAAAAAAAGAACATGGTATCTGTGTACCAAAATATCATCAGGAGTTTCCCCAGAGGTTACTCTATGGCCTTTGCTTATGGATCGGGGGTGATGCCACAAGTTGGTCATGCTATAACAGTAAGTTTGAATTTTTGTGAAATATTCTTCTTGAAAATTATTATGGTGCAAGGAGAATATATATGAATAATAATAAAAGTTTGGTTCTATAATTCATATATATACATGCACTAATTTGTCAATAAAACAATAATATTTAATTATTAATAAATTCTTTGACAATTATAATCTGAAAAATCTTTAAAAATTTTGATGCATAATATTATCAATTTACAAGTTAGTCAATATTTTGCCATTCATTTTAATTGCATTGTTTTTTCACAGAGGTCTAGCATGATTGACTTCATTTTTGTGGTGGAAGATCCTCTTGTCTGGCATAGAGAAAACATGCACCTCAACCCCAGGCATTACTCAAGTCTGCGTCTACTTGGGCCGGCAACAATTGAGACTGTCCAGTGTAACTGGGGGGCCAAGATATACTACAATACTCTGGTGCCAACTCATGAAGGAGTGAGTGTTCCTCCAGTCTAAGCTAAGTTTCTACTAGGATAAATGCCTTAAGCTTCAATTATGCAATAACTACAGACTTATAAAAAGCACTTATGTTGCCAGCAGTAACAAGTTCAATATAACCAATTTGCTAGGTTTTTTAAAAATTATTCATTTTTAGGAATAGAATTGGTCATTGAAAGCATTTTTTTTTTTGAAGTTCAGTGATTAATGAAATTTTTTCCATAACAAAGAATGAAAAATAATCTTTTTCCTGTATATTTGACTAGCTACAATTGTTTTCTTACAGCTGATTAAGTATGGTGTGATATCAGAGCGGGACCTGATCTGTGATCTGCTTGATTGGGAAACACTTTATGTGGCTGGGCGATTGCACAAGCCTGTCAATATTCTACATAAGGGTAGGTATTACTACAATAATTTTTGTTTCATGAGGTTGGCAAATTTAAGAACCTGTCATATTATATATCCGTACCTATTTGTTAAGGTTTGTGTGTGGGTTGTAGTTCTTTTAAAATGTAGTTCTTTTTTTAAAATGAGTCTTTTAAATTGCAGCACATTAGATTCAAAATGACCGATATGATTTTAACAATTGCGATGGAATTTGAATAAATTTGATTTTATATTTCAATGATCACTTATCCTTGATAATGCTAGGGTAACTTGATAGGTATATATGTATTTGAAGAATTATAATGAATTAATTTTCAGGGAGTATATAAGTATAATTAAAGTTATCATTGGAGATTTCTGCTTTGGAGTAGCCTGAAAAATTTTCATAAAATACATTTGTATTTGACATTTAAATTGAGACCATCAAACCAATCCTAAAGTTTAGATTCACATCGGATGTGGTAGTAATTCAGTGTCCTATCCCTATTGTGAAATGAAAACTTTCTATTCATTATCCAGACAGCAAAGATCCGGAGCTTGAGCGAGCGCTACAACTGAACCTAAGCTATGCAGTGCGGACTGCCTTGCTGCTTCTGCCTGATACTTTCAGTGAAGAGGAACTCTATCACACCATAGCACATCTCTCATACTCTGGTCTGATCATTGGCTCAAGTATTTTACCTTAGTTATTGATAAATAAATTATCCCGGCTTTGAAACTAAGAAGACAGTATTGTTAATTCATCAAATAGTGACCAGTCTTTCATATCCTTGCACATGCATATAGCATTACATATCTTACATGTATGTTTCTATCGTTTTGGTACCTACTCTTCGTTACTCTGCATGCTCATAGGATTACAGCATGAATATGAAATTTTTTAATTCATTGAGCTTCAATTTACTGGAATAAAGGTTAAAGGTTTCCTTCCTATTTCTATCTTATTTGGATTGCTGGTAAACACAATTTCAACCACATATATAATTAAATACGGTACTTGTCACAATTTTACACTTCATACTTTAAATTTAGGCGATTTTTTCTCCCACTCCGTTATCATCATCATCCTTCATTCTATGTTAATTTTGACGGTGATGCAAAATTTGATAATATCTGCATAACTGCGAGGGACCCAGAGCCTGCAGCAGGTTGCTCTTAAGTGCAGATGCACCACCCTTGGGGTTATGGGAATGAATTGACTATCTATAATAATTAATAATTCTAATGGGACATAATTAACCGTCAACATGATAGTATGTATATAGTTTATTCTTACTTGAACGATTCCAATCAAAAAAGTGATTATTCATTAGTTTAACTTTAGTTGGACTACATTTATACTAAAATGCACTAAGTACGATTGTTTAGTATTTTACTAAATTATGCTACCTGACGCGGTGGTCAAGTCACAAACAATCATTAACGTCTTGAGGAACATTACAGGTGACTTCAGGATGCACGTGGGGGAGGACAAGCACAAGGTTAGGAACATCGTGGAGGCTCAGCTGCTGGAATTCAGGAAGCTGTACGCGCCTGTGCTGGACAGCCTCCAGGACTACGTTCTGCTGGACGCCACCGCCCCTGGTACCGCAATACAGGACACCTCGCCGCACGCCAAGTATAGGCACCTCTCCCTGCTGCCACTGCAGCTCCAGGTGCTGGTCTTGGCATTAATATGAGGTTCTCTTTGCCTTCGGTTAGAAGCTATAACTGCCTTTGGTCTTAAGCCTTAAATGACTTCGGCATTAGTCGTAAATGCCTTCGGCCTTAAGCCATAAATGCCTTTTGTATTTGCAATAAATGCCTTTGGTATTTGCCACAAATGCCTTTGGTATTTGCTACAAATGCCTTCGGCATTATCCATAAATGACTTCAGCCTGAGTCATTCATTCTTTATTGGTTAAGTAGTAATTTCGATGGTTCAAGGAAAAGCTCCACTTTGGATTTTAATTCAGTGCTAATTACTTTCCTGAAATTTCAATAGAAAAGAAGTGCCAAGAAGGTTCAGCATTTAAAAAAATGATTTCGCAACTAAATCCATCGGGAGCTGAAGACATAAATGGTGTAAACTTAATGCAAGGTTCATAACATCAGCATAGTTTAAAGTAATTTATTCTTTGTTTTACTCGAAGTCATATTTAAGCACACATTTTTAATGCATCCCTTCAATTACAAGTATAAATTTCCACGTATATTTTTGTGTCTCAAATTGAGTATTTCATGTCGTCGTCGTGTATATTACACCAGTTAAAGGACAGATTTTACTGACTTCCTTTCTAACTTTTTCCTGCCTTAATCTAGGATAAATTATCACGTGATTATGAACAATCTGTCTGCATTGTTTCTCTTGTGTCAAGTAAAAATCCTGAATCACCTCCATTTAAATTCAGCGCTATACTGGTTTTGTCTATATATTGTGTGCTTTTAATTTAGAATGAATATTCAATTATGTGATTGATACACCTGTATTAATTAATTACTATTGTGGTGACAGTTAGCGTTGGTGCGTGACTGCAACAAAGACGGTCGTAACAGAGACGTGGAGGAGGTTTTGCTGGTGGCCGCCCAGGATCCTGATACTCAGGACATGGTCATAAAAGGTATGTGGTCTATGCCTGTCATTCCGGTGAAGACTTTCAATAATAATTACGAGATTGTAACACCGTCAGCCAACCACAAAAGGCAGTTCAAAGTAAACCGCCCCAATTAACGACGAGAAATCCGTCGCTATGTGTACACATTCATTGAAATTGGCTTTTCTTATCTTGGTGCCTGGTAATAGGCGAGTATTAAAAACACTATCTTGCGCTTTCTTACATGCCTATAGATACGTGAGAAGACTTACACAATTCTCATATAATACGTTGAAACTAAACTTTGCTGTTGTTCTATTGTACGTCTACAGCATGCTTTGCATTAAATTTTCCTGTAATATCGACAATCTATTCATAAGACCGTCATTGCTAATATTACTCTCAATTAATCGTAACTTAATTCATCAGGTGTTCGCAGCATCGTATCGCGCTCGAGCCTGACGCAGGCGCTGAAAGGAGTCGTCACAGCAGGCCTGTGGAAGTCCCTCAAGTATTCCACTGCCAAAGTCAAGAAGATGATCAGCAGTTGGCATAGATGACCTCACGAGAAACGCGTCCAGTTTTAGGCAATAATTGAATTATCGTTCTAGAGAGTGGAGGCATTTGCACGTCAAGCAAAAATATTGCTATTAACAACCTTATCATCCTGACAGGTGAATACTCACCGGCGAAGAATATGTATTGCTGATAAAGAAATTGCAATCCTGTAGTTGTTAGGTAATGCCGGGTTTATAATAGTTTGGTAGCTAAATGAACCAATCGCGGTAAAATCTACAGTTATTCATATAATGTAATGCTTCTACTTTGTTACATTACTCGTGTAAATTTCATGTATGACGATAAGCAGGATGTTACTTCATAGCTTTGCTCCGAGTTATCCGATGTAGCTTATAAAATCGTTAGTAGCTATTAAAATTCTTGTTATTGTATAACGTGATAAGGGCGCCGATTTGAATAAACCAAGATGTCAAGAGTCGTAAAAGAAATACGCGTGCATTTTAGCGGTACAAAATGAGGCAGGGACTCATTTTTTCAGAACATTAACAAGAAAAAGATTCTCAAAACAATAAATGATATGCGTATTGCTGCGTCTCACTTTTGATACTTTTTGATACTATGTTGGTCGTTTCCTCCCTTCTGACATCTGTTTGTATTTCACCGTTTGCTCTAATCTTCTAGTCGCTTTTTCACGTGATAACTCAAGTTTGAAGATAGATTCTTCTGCCTTTAGCGAGCATTTAGTTCTAAATAGACGGAAAAATAAATGCCTTTATCGTGAATATTATTTTATTGTCTCCACTCATGTGACCGTGAAAAATACGTTATAACCGAACAGGTGAGTACTTGAAATTGCTAACCTCGAGACAACACATTTTTGAAAAGAAATAATGTCAACACAAGATCTGCAAGTAAGCCAGTCGGTAGGATACAGATGAACTGGTCAGTTCAATGAGACCTGGTCAAACGAGTGTGTGCCAGACGTCTGGAATTGAAGTCTAGTATTTTTGCATTAAATGGAAGGTCATGAGAGAAGGATAAAGATAAGGCAATACAGAATGATTTCACAGGCTGTGTCAGTGCGTATTGCAAGAAGGTATTCTGCGCTAATAAAAATTAGTGCGTGCTACGATGTTGTAGGAAAGTTAAGAGGGCTAGGTGAGATGAGGAACAGAATGAATCAAGATGTGACAGTGAATAAAAATATATCTTTCGGGAATGAATTTACCGAGAGAACTAAAGAAAGGGTACTTGGCATTCCTAGATACAGAAAACGAATTCGACAGTGCTTCGGTTCACAGAACAGATTGCAACCAGGGTTAGAATAGATGTGAGAAGAGCGCATGTGGAAATTGGCATAAGTGTGATGTTCCTCATTATCTTCAAAAAAATTCCCAGAATTAAAAAACAATCTTATTAAATTTAAATACTTAGCAGATTTGTGTGAAAAATAGGTCGCTTCAAAACGGTCAATTATTTCACTCGAGAAAAAAGAAATGCATTAGAAGGCTTTCTTCTCCCAGATACATGCAGTTCAGAATTCATTGGGTACTTCTCTTTGTATTAAAATTGAAATGCACGAAAAATGTCACCATCGGGATTACCTTAATAAATCTTCCAAAGAGAAACACTTCCATCCAACGATCCAGCAGTAAGCACATGTTCAGCCCCGGCACTAATTGGCCCAGCTCCATCAGAGCTGACAGCTCTGCTCGCCGAGTAATGCAGACAAGACACACTGTTCGCATGGTAGTCAAGAACCGCCAGAGGCTTGTGTTTGTGCCACGAAAAAATCCTAATCCTGTTATCCCAGCCGCCAGTGGCGTAAAGCTTGCTGTCCGGTCGAGAAATGCAGCAGCCAAGACCCTCGTTTGTAACAGAGATCTCCCTTACGATGGTCAGGTCTAAGGTACTCGAGATGTTGAATATGAAAATCCCGTCTTCGGTGGTACCAAGGATCCCACTGCCTAAACTCTGGTCGTACTCCAAAGATACAGGAGTGCCTTTAATGCAGGCAATGGAGTGGAGATCTCTGTTGCTCCAGTCCCAAAGACAAAGGTCTCCACTCTCGTAGGCAACCAAAAGTGACACTCGGTTCCTCTTTTCGACCCATTTGAGTTGCATGACACTCCCTACTTTGGTGGTTTCGTTGACCCGCAATTGGCAGATCTTGATGCGGTCATCCACTGACCAAACGCTTACGGCGTCCTGTGGTCCCCCAGGCATGGCAGCAACAATGCAGTTCAATTGTTTGAACACGTCACACGATGCAAACCCTAGGTAATCCCCCAGAGAAATCTGAGTCTTGCATATGGGCACCACACGGTTATTCTTCGGAGAACCGTCCTCCTTGTCAGCCGCGGGATCACAGGAGTTGGTCTCTAGTTCGTTGGTGGTGGAAAGATCGATATGCCATAGCTTCAGGCTGTCTCTTCTCCCCATGGAGACGAGGTTCGTGGGAGTCACGCTCTTGAGCGCCAACACGGCACAGTCATAGGTGTGCGCTTGCCAGCATGCAACTTGTACCTTTGTCTGGTGTCACGCAAGGAAACAAATAGTTACACTAAAATACAATTCTTAACTAGGAAGAAAAAGCATTAATTTATATTGACAAAGCAAACATTAATTAGGAATGGGTGACAATAATTCAGCTATTATCGCGAACCTCTCGTTTTCATGCACGTATAAGAAATCAATTTCGCTGAAAATTTAATTTATTTAATATAAATTCAATTTTTTTCATTTCAGATTTCCATTCAACGAAATCATTCCAGTGAACTCAGATTCAGTTAAAGGTTAACAAATTCTTCTGGGTGTGCAAAAGTTGCAAGACTTACCTTGAGGTCCCAGATGCAGATCTGCCCACTCTGCATTCCCGCGGCGATGTGCGTAGTGGGTTGAAGGAACCCTGGCGGAGGGAGTTTGAGTAACGGCGGGGCATGGGACCTCTTCGCCGACGAAGCCTCGTCCTTCCCTCGGTCCGTGTCTGGGGATCCATAAGTTGCATTCAACGCTTCCGACTGCGATGGTGACAACTCATTGAGTCTCAACGCCGGGGAGATAAACTGCACACAAGTTACGGGGGACGCCGCTCCCCTCAGCACGAACACTGGGTCTGGCGGCGGAGGGGGTAGTGTCGATTTCGTCGGTGGAATCGACAGGTTTGGTCTTAGGAGGGTCGGAGCAGTACTAGCAGGAGTCTTGCTTGCAATAACCGTAGCAGGTCTTATCGGGGTTTCCCTTGCAGAGTTCTGTATTACAACTGGTGGGTCTGAAGAACCGGTGGTAGAACCAGCGAGTGTTTTCTTGTTCTGGGAGTTCTTACTCGCGTCAGTGGAAGGAGAGTTAGGTCCACCCCTATTTTCGCTGGGAGCAGATTTGGGTACGGATGACCCATCTTTAGTTTTGATACCGGAATTTTGCGCGGCCAACTTCCTTAACGTAGTCTTGCCACCGTTCTTATTCTTGCCCATTTTTTATTTAGTTTGGTACGCAACGAATATATTCTCTTGGCAACTTCACCCTATGCACAGCTCAATGTGAATACAACTATAAAACCACTGACAGTGCGCATGCTCTGAAGAATTAACTCACAATTTCAACTCTACCTGCGAATGACATAAGAACAAGAGAGTTAAACGAATAACTTAGAAATGACTCGACGTAATACTCGTTATAATTGCCTACTAATGCATGCCTTATTGATGGAGGTGCCTGATGAGTGATTATTTAATGGTGATTAAATAGAGAATAGCGTAATGGACATCACCAAAATTAACATCGTAAAACGTTTGTTTTTATTTGTGATAACTATGACCTGCATGCGACCAATACCGTCAATACTCCTACAATGCCTACTATAAATAATAGGAGGAAATGAATGGAGAAACTTCATAGGTGTTCGACGTGGCACGGAATGTTTTCTGTTCAGAGACACAGCATAAATAGCACCTATATACTTTTTTAACTTTTATTCATTGAATGCAAAAGGTTTTGAAAAAATAGCCCATACGATCAATGATCCCTCTAAAATAAAAATAAGCGAGCAGAAAAATGTGACGTACAGTAATTGGTTTGGGATCTTATTTAACTTTACTTGAATTTAAAAGAAACGGAATTAAAAAAAATTATTCAAGCTTATAGGAGGATAGCTGCTGAAAGAAGCTATCAATGAGATATCACAAAGTAATTTTAGATTCTTTACACACTCGGCAGCTTTATTATAGAAACCTATTAAAGCTCTATTAGAAAACCTAAAATAGAATTTAAACTTGAGTAGGTTCTTCGTTTTGGTCAGGAACATTGATTTCTCTGTTTTCATAATTCCAGAATCCGTTGAGATCGATGAGGATCCCAACAACAACATCCCCTTGTCCAGAGTTCAAAAGATCCTGCAGAGTAATCTTGCAAGGATCCGCAGGTTTGACCATGTCAAAAATCTCATCCTTGACATCCTGGAAGTTGACAGGGTCGTGGTTGAGTTGCCGCATCTGTTCCTGAATGGACCGGAAGAAATAATTGAGCGTGAACACTGTTAAATACCCCTTCTTGTCGATGTCGAGAATCTTGAAGAAATAGTGCAAGGCTTGCGGCTCTTTTTTGTTCTCGAGAGCCAAGACGAAGTCTAGGTACGTTTTGTAGTCCATCTCACCATCATAAGTGAGGCATTCTTGGAAGACTCTGTCAATGAATACAGGAGTCAGAGTCCCCATACCAAATTTCAGCAGTTCTTGCTTCGATAACATCCCATTTCTGTCTTTGTCCAAGTTGAGGTACATACCATAGACACGTAAGGTGGACGGGGCCGAGAACCAGTTGCTCTGTTGCTGGTCTTTGGGTAAATCTTCGTCTCTGAGCTCCAGAAGGTCGTCCAGAAAGCTGCACGAAAGGATGTCTTGGATTTTAATCTGCCCCGTATGTAGGGGATCTAGGAAGAAGAAAAATTTATGAACGGCGGTGCACACATAGAAAGAGTGGAACGATTGTTCAAGTCCTTGCAGTTGATGTAGAGTAGGAATGAGCTCAAGAATGTAGTTTTCCAGGTCTGATTCTCTGAGGTAACCGAGGCCAGAGACATCATAAAGAGACAAGCCAATTCGCGTTTGATGAAGCCACACTTTTCTCATGACATAGTTGAAGAAATTCATTACAGAAATGCGGCCATAAGGATCGTTCTGCAGCAACTTCATAAAAGTCGTAGGTTGGAAGTACTGGCGGCACTTAGGGCCAGCCAGTTCAGCTACTTTGAGAAAATCATCATAGTTAATGAGCTGCTCTTCAGTGTTATCTATGGGTGGACTTGGTTGCTTATCAAGAAGCACATAGAGTTGTTTTAGTTCCTCATTATCCAAGAGCTCACGACTTTTACGCTGAAGGAACATGGCCCTAGACTCTTCTCTCAGCTTCTGCCGCAAGGTGTCGTCTTCAGCTGGTAGCTTCTGATAAAATTTTGGCAGCACAGGCTTGGATGTGGAGGGCTGAGAGGAGTCCAAGCCTTTCCATTCACAGTAATATTTCTCAAATAGTTGTTCAGTTTCAGCCTCCAATGCTGGATCATCTAAGACTGAGTTAAATGTAGAGTCATCTAAGGTAGATGAATTTTCAGGCAAAGTTGATTTGGTACTACTGCCAACATTAGAAATTGTTGCTGAATCCTCTGAACTAATCTTTGACTTATTTCCACATTTACTCAAATGACTTTCTAAAATGGATTTTAGATCCATTTTGGAATTAAATGAAACATATACTAAACTGTAACATTATAGAAAAGAAATTCAACATTACTTTCTGCAAACATCTAGACTGCATTCGATAAAAAAAAACCTTTAGTTATCATGAAAACATTTTCTCATGGAACATTCTTCAATTACATGCATCCAAAGCCCAATTGATCAGATTATAAAATTAAATCCAGTTATTTTAGCCAAATTAAAATATAATGGAATAGTTACCCCATGTTCCTATTATAAGATGAAACTTGACATAGGAACATTGGGAAATACTTCAAGAAAAATATATGTGGGTGTTAGTTGTCAAGATTGCAACTAATATTTGGTAGAATCTCACTGCTTCCAGTAGACAGAAGTTTTGCTCACACAGAAATTTCCAAGTTGCAGATAGATGAAGTTAGAACACACACGTTAGTTAAGCCAAATTAAGAAATGATGTTCTACATTAAGGACGAATGTTTCACTGGAATTTTACAATTCCAGTGACAGATTTTCCTTAAATTTGTAATCCCATTGCATAATTGTTCAATTTCATCAAAAATAAGATTAGAGAAAATACATCTAGTGGGAATCTTGTGCATCCAAATATAGCAAGAAAGATCTAACATCCATTCAAATTAAGTTGCATTCATGTCATTATCTTTCAATAGAAATGACTAAAGTTTCTAACAAAACTAAACTGCAACTTTCTTGCAAGACCAAAACATCTTTGAAGTTCTTATGAGATCATGAAACTTTACAAAGTGTAGTTCGGATCAGTATAATACTGTGTATTAATACTTAACACTTAAATAATTGATATTAGGTATGTATTAAGTGGGATGCCCATACACATTCAGGGTGGAATGCTCCCTAAGCTTGGCTTGCCTTGGGAGTATGGATCCCCTTACTCCACTGAGGACTTCTTCTTCTGCCCATTATTTCCTATGGTCCCATCTCCTCATTGTTGGACAGATACTGTTAGTCTGCATCCTTTGGGGCATCCTTTCCATCATTTGCTCCTCTTGGTTCACACCCTTGCAACTGCTTCTTGAGCTGCCCACTTGGCACACCAAATAACAGCAAATGGCACATGCTTTCTTCTAAAATACTTAACTTTGTTGTCACAAGATTTCAGAGTCACAGATATTTGGGCTGTGCTATTTCAGCCAAAAGTAGTTTACTGATCTTGGACTACTATAGATATTTTCCACACTTAGCCTTGTCAATTGATAAAAAATCTACATTCTAGTCAAATTTTACAAAGCAGGTCAGGAATCTTTTCAAAATGGTGCAGTCAGGCCAATCTAATCTTCAAGCTACAACTGCTTTTGGGAGCTTAGAGTTCAATACATTTGCAGACAATGAGAAAAATTAAAAGTTGAATGCTATGCAAAATAAATGTATGCATATTAGTACATGCTTTCAATGCCTGATTCTGCTGACAGCAGCATGGTGCCACTGTGAAAAGATACAATTGCACCATTGCTTAGCCATAGCTGCTGGCAGCAGCAGACATGTATACATGTCACAAATTACTAATACGCATACATGCCTTGGCACATGAGAGAATATGATTGCTTCAGCACAAAGCTGAGCCTCCATGTTTAAATTATTTTTAGTTATGGTGCACGGTGCATTTTTTCTCAGCATATTTTGGCATACTGTGCAGATTGAAAAAATGACCACATAAATTCCTATGCACCTGGTAAATCTTCCTGACTTCTAAATAATAATATCAGTGTCAGAGCAGAGATTTTTTAGACTCTTTTTCAAGTTCATTTTTGAGTTCTAAATGTATACCAGTAAAGTATCATGGACACAAGCATTATCTCACATTAGAAATTGCTCTAGATCTTCAGTAGACGAGAAAATAAAAAATGAACAGATTCTAAAAAATCTGTGGTTTGTCACAAAGCTCCTAATGGTACTCCTAAGCTTAGATACAAACTCAAAAAATACATAAAATTATGAGCAAATATATCTTTCATTTGTTCCTATTTTCATGTATTGGTTTATGAAATTTCAATTTAGTTATATTTCAGTAGTTGCATACAAAAAAGTTATTGCAGTTGAACCTTGCAAGCTGTCTGATGCAGAGCAATGGTTTTTGGGATATTGGACTTCAGAATTTCAGAACAATGTTAATTTAAAACGGCTCATTTTCCCATGCAATTTTCAAAAATAACCTGTGAAATGATCGTTTTTCTCAGGGATTTTAGGAAACTCCTGTCAGATATTCTAAAATGTGTCTGCCAGCAGCCCAGCACCAAGCACCCTGGCAGAGATGCTTACTGGTATTTTTCAATACCGTACCAGACTTCACATATCTGGCATTTTGAGACAGTGTGTGGTATTGATATTTATGATCTGGTTTTATTGCCTAAATCTGGTATATTTCTGGTATTTTCTGACTCACTGCAAATGAACTGCATTAAGTTACCCCTCTGATGTTCAAACTTCCCCCAGCGTAGGCTTGGATTATCCTTCAAGCGGCGCAACTAGAGCTTTCCAGCCATTTTTGGCACTGTGAGATTACCACTTGGTGAAATAACTCCAATCAAAATGATAACATTCAACAAAAGTGTTCAGTGCAGTAAGTGCATGAGAATGATGGTTCATGATTGCTCACTTATCAGTCAAACCAAGCTCTGCAACCCAAGCTCCTGCATTCGTTAGGTGGTTTAAAAACAAATGGCCAGTGACCTATGACCACTCTGGTGGAATTTTATCCCTAGCTATACAGATTAATCCAATTGGTTTATGAATCGACTTCCTTATGTAGATTCGGTGCCGTCAACCGTGGCTACTTGGGACGCTTCTGAGCATTTTTTGTTAATAACTTCTTAGGAGGAAACATTTCATGAACAAGTTTAGGCTCATTTTATAGCTCTTTGTGAGGGCTATCGAATGGCATCTTAAAAAAAATTCCATATGTTATTCGTAAGGTGCCAGAAGCAAAAAAAAGAGTGTCCCGAGTAGCCCCGTCGAATGGGGCTACTCGGGACAATAAGTGAACTTTTTTTTTGCTCAGCGAGGTAAATGTAATCAATATTCTTTGTTTTTAATCAATTTTTTTCTTAACTGGAGCCTTTGCTAACTGAGGTTCTACTGTAAATGTGCTTTCGGGGGTGCCCCGAATAGCCCCGGGCCCCCGGGGGGGTGTCCCGAGTAGCCCCGCCATGCGGAAATGGTTGCCATTTTTTTTAATGAGATAGGCAAAATCTGTCAATTACGTTTTTTCAAGCGACACCTGGGTGCAACTTTTATGTAAGTAAAATTTTTTAATACGGCAAATATTTTTTTGCTACAGACCTTAGCAGAAGCAACTTTTCAAAATAGCGTTTTTCACCATTTTTTTCAGGAATTTTTCAAAGCTAGTAAATGTCGTATTTTTCGACTTCCTTTATACTACATAGATAGGAAAAATGTTAATGTTTACGCCAGTATATTTAGTTTTGCAATATTCCAATTAGTTTTGCTACTATAACAGTTTTACGACATGTCGGAGGTGCGTCCCGAGTTGCCCCGCCAGTCCCGAGTAGCCCCGGTTGACGGTATTACTTTAGATCAAGTGCATCCAAAAAAAGTTTTTTCTTGTTTAATTATATGTTTTTTTGGGGTGTAGATAAAGAATCTGAAATCCGTTTTTGGCGGTCAGCATCGGAAAACCGATTTTTATATATGCCGATTTTTATATATTTTCTAAGATAAATTGCAAGTTAAATCTTGGCACCAATATCCATGGATTTATAGCGTTTTTAACTTAGCCTCAGTGACCCATATACTCTTGCAACCACAACATTGCAACCACGGTTAGGTTAGGTTTTTTCGCCGATTTTGCCAATTTTTGCCTGATTTTATTTGACAAATTAGAGCCTCAGGGGAAAAAATTGGTTTTCCGATGCTGACTGCCAAAAACGGATTTCAGATTCTTTATCTACACCCCAAAAAACATAATTAAAAAAACACCCCTTTTTTTGGATGCACTTAATCTAAAGTATTATTGTAGGTTCTATTAAAAAATGCAATGCATATGAAAGTTAGATATGAAAGAGTCAAAGACTTTTCTAAGCAATATTTAGAATACCGGTAACTAATCTTGCAATGTAATTATAAATGTTGCAATGACAAGTCTGAAGCAAAAATTATTTGGAAGGCTGGAATCTAATTCTAAATATAAGCCATGAAAACAAATATCCTTTTCCCGTTTCCTATTTCTTAGGGTCCTTCTCCCAACTTATCCCATCTTCCATGGCTCCAAGAAAGTCATACGATGCATCATGCAAATATGGAACCGATTAGAAGGTGATATGTAATGAGTTCAATTTTGCTAATTATTCATCAAGCCAGAAATATGCAAGGTAAAAACAATAAAAAATTAGATCAGTAGGTACTCATTGTAGTGACAGAGAGCACATTTTCTTGTCCGTCCATCCATGAAGTCACGGACGGACAGACATGACAAGCACAATAGTGCCTTTTTTCCATAAATGAGAAAATTTGCTTAAAATGACTTTTCTTTTCTTTCCATTATTTTTTAATAATTTATTTAATCAAATTTGAAGGTATTTATCTGTTATTGAAAAATAAAATTTCCAGTATTTTGAGCTAGGCAATCTGATATTCTTGGCAAGAAAAAAGTTGGCAACACTGCTGACCCTGGCTGCCACAAATTGGTATTTTCTGACTCACTGCAAATTAACTACATTAAATTCCCCCTCTGTTTGAATTGTTGAATGTTGATGTTTCTAAGAGAAGTACTGTAAAATGGGGTTACTTTGACCAGCGGTGTAACTTTGACCACTTTCCGTTTTTTTAACAAAAACCCCCAAAACTCAAAAACAATTTGACATAGAAAAATTTTGTCAATGGCCATCAAAGGCCTAATACTGAGGCTACGTAACACAATAGAAAGATTTATATTTGCATATCTAATAGGTTAAAAAATTAATAATGTGACCCGAAAAAAAGAGCTATTATGTATTTAAAGCCTGTCAGAGTACCCCCTCCAATTTTTTTATTTTTTGGTAAAATAACTCCAGGTTTTGATGCATTGTAGTAGAACTCTTCTTGCTACA